ACTAGCTTCCAGGGACGTGGGCAGGAAGGGACGGTGCACTGGGAGATTTAAGCAGCTGGGGTTACGTGACAGCCCTGAAGCGTGCAGGTTTTTCTGGGAGACATAGAAGTTCAGGGAAGAATGGCGGAGGGTCAGTGCATCGCCGGCTCCAGGGGTGTGTGGTGACTGGATTTGGATGGTAGAAAAAACACTGTCAAGAGCTGGAGCTCCAAAGGGAGACGGCAGCCTGAGGTCAGTGTTGATGCCCTTTTTGTTTGTTTGTTCTTGTTTTCGAGACAAGGTTTCTCTGTAGCTTTGTAGCCTGTCCCAGAACTAGCTCTGTAGATCAGGCTTCCTCTGCCCCTCCCGAGTGCTGGGATTAAAGGTGTGCGCCACCACTGCCCGGCTTGTTCATGCATTTAGGATGTCACCTGGGACCTTGTTGGAAACAAAACTCCTCGGCCTCCCCAGACTTTCTGCTGACAATCGGAAGCCGTGGGAGTATCCTATGAGCCTCCAAGGTGGCCGTGGTGCACACTGAGCCGGGAGACCCCTGTGTAGAGCACAGGCATTCTGGATAAGAGGAAGATGAGACCTGGAGAGTCAGAGTGTGGGAGGGACCTCTCTGATGATGGTATGACCCAGCACCAAGGACAGAGATGGAGGAAGGACCCGCGTGAGAATCATTAGGGAATAAGAAGAACGGTCCAGTGAGAACAGTTTACAGTCCAGAAAGGAATAGGAGACAACTACCCCTCAGAGCCCCAGCAGCCCTGAACCACTCTGGCTGGCAGAGAGTATTCCTCAGCCCACAGATGTCCCCCCCCGTGGTCCCTGAACTGTGGGTCTACTGCCTTCTATATCAAGGGATAGTAAGTTCATGTGATCACGTGAGTTGGGAAGGGTACCTAGGCTATGCAGGTGTGCCCCGCGTGACCCAGGCTGCCCAGGTGTGCCCCGCGTGACCCAGGCTGCCTAGGTGTGCCCCCCATGACCCAGGCTGCCCAGGTGTGCCCTGTGTGACCATAAGAAGATGAAGTAGGCTGGGAGACCTGCCCCGAAGTCAGCTGTGTTAATTCCCAAGAAGCTCGAGAAAGCAGGAAAGAGTCCTCCCTGGAGGCTCTAGGAGCACCCTAACACCCTAACCTGCTGACCTTCCTTGTGAGCCCTACTTTGGACTTCTGATCTCCGGACCTGCACGACTATAAATTATTGATGCTTTAGGCACTAAGTGTCCTACAGTTGTCCCTGAGGTCTGTAAAGGTGGGAGTGTGGATGGGGTGGGGTGGGCTTGGGAGCCGATGGGGTACGATTCCAGAGAGGGGAGCATGATCTTGTTTACTGTGGGCTGTATGAGGCAGGAGACGAAAGGTGGCATTTTGGAGAGGAGAGGTGCAGAGAGTGGGGTCTAAGGATTCATGGAAGCCAGGAAGGGGAACTTGACAGCCTACTATGAACAGAATGAAAAGCAAAGAAACAGGGCGAGGCTATGAACATTGGGAGATGGGAGGCCACGGCATCCAGGATTGCGCGTTTCGGCTCTTAAAGTTCGTCCCAACCCAATCTTGGTAGGTTGGGCCTCAGGAAGGGCTGGAGTCATGCAGAAGACCCTGTGGTCCTCAGAGGCCATGGGGACCCCTAGCCTCAGGTGGAGGATAAAGGAGAGCCTGGGATAAAGGAGAGCCTGGGAGGCCATGTGCCTTGTTCTCATGCAGCCTGCAGTGGGCACTGCGGCCCCATTGATCACCTTATGGACCGTCCTCCTTGGGGAAGTTCAGTTTCACATTGTCTGGTAAACAGCAACTGGTTGCCTGCCCTTCCTTTGCCTGTCCCCTAGGCGCCATTGAGCTCCAGCAGAGAGAGCTTTACAGGCAGGAGGGCCACAGGTGACTGTATGCTGCCGGGAGCAGATGACGACTTGGCAGGTTGGGGACCCGAGGGAGTCACGTCCTTATTACTTTCTGCAGCGAAGGGAGCTGGCTCTTGCCAGAAAACAACCACTGTGTAACCAGAAATGAACACACCGAGCCCCGTGGGGCTGGGACAAGGCCTCTCTTGAGTCCACTGTTTGGTTTTGAAAAAATGGGTTAAATATTAGGAAGTTATTAATTTTCCTGTTGCGGCCTGCCTCTTGTGCACTCCAAAGCTGGTCGCAACTGCTCATTCACACACCCCATCCCCCAAGGTCCTACTGTGTGCTGGGCTTGAAGCCAAGGCAAGCATTGTCCTTCTCTCCCAGGACCCACAAGGTGAAACAGTCGACCCCGGAGTTCCCATGCACAGTGGGCTCAGCATGGTGGACTTCACATGGTACCTGGTAGTCAGGTAGGAAGAGTTGTGTGTGTCTTTTTATAAGCTCTTCCGGAATTAGGAGGGGAGCACTTCTGGCACTAAGAACACAGAAACTGAACTGGGAGATGGTGTGGTCTGAGAGTCAGGAAGGAAAGCTGCGAGGGGCAGAGATGGTGGCTGGGCATGTCTGGAATCCACGGGGAATCTCGGGCATGTTAACTAGAAATGCCTTGTGGCTAGCACCGTGAAGCCACACAGATGTACTAACATCTGGAACCGGGGAAGGGGAGCTGTGCAACCCTGTCCAAGGCGGTCCTGGAAAGCCTGCCCTCGTGTCATTAGAAGCAAAGGCCATGAGACAGACCCTTGTGGGTTTACTCTGTGGGGTGGGGAGTTGGGGGCTCGAGGGAACTTGGCAAGTCTGTCATGGAAGTTATAGTTTACTGTCCCTTCCTGAAATCTGGCTAAGGACCAGATGGCCTGGCCCTGGCAGTGCATCTGGTGGTCGTGATGCACCTGTAATTTCAGAGTATAGAACAGGCAGGAAGAAGGCATTCTTGGAGAGGCTGGGGCAGGGCAGTCTCGGGGGGCGGGGGGAGCATGTACGCATACCTCAACTTCTGAGCATTACCAGGAAGTGGGGACAGGTGGGCTGAGAGAGTGGCCTTCTGGGAGGAAAGTTTTGTCCTAACTTACTCATGTTTGTACCACAAAATGTCATGAGGCCTGTTCCTCACCGGCCTCGCCGGGGCTGTGGCCTTCACTTTCCTTTATCAGTGACTCCTGTGGTTCCAACCTTCTCACTGAGACTCAAGCCTGGCTCTGTGCTTCCCTCTGGTTTATGAGCCCAAAGGGGCTGCGCCGGTGTCCGTCCACTTTCTCCCCTAAGTCTTCTGAAGTCCCCACTGTTACCAACCCAGAGTTATGCTTCCCCTTGCTGAAAAACTGCCCCTGGCTGCTGCAAGTCACCTGAGTGACAACAGGTACTTCACATTCTGGGAGTTTTGAAAGATGGAGAGACTCATTTCTGGCTCCTATGGTCTGGTTACCAAACAACCCCAAACCTCTATTATGTTTTTCCAGACCTCACGGTAGATGAGGTCCCAGCAGCAGCTCGAGGCTCAACCGAAAACGGAGGGCTGTTGATGCTACAGGGAACTGACAGAAAATATGAGCCAGCTTCTCTCACGTTCCTGACACCCGGGAGGTGCCAACTACTGCCAGCATTTTGCAGCAGGAGAAATAGAAGAATGGGTCAAATTTATGTTTGCCAGGTGAAGTTTGCATGGAGATGATTAGTCTCAAACCCAGGACAAATGGCTAGTTGAGGTATCTATTTAACATATCGAGCTGGGAGGACTTGGCCACCGCGTTCTCCCAGTATCCTTCAGTTCCCACTTGTACCCTAAACTTCTCCAGCCCAGGGGCTGAGCTGCCCTTCCCCATATAATCCATCCATTTTGGTTATCTGGCTCTTTTTTTGGTCTACTCTTTACAGTCCTGGCCTCTTGCTCTGGCTCTCCCTTCTCCTCAGTCCCTAAGGCTCAGGATCATGCTCACTCTGGACTCTCCCAGATGTTCCTGCCTCTGGCTACGCTCTACCTTTTCACTCAGTGATGCAGAAGGCAGGTCTACTTAGAATGGGAGGATAGTCTTATCCTCGTCTTTGGCTGCTGCTGCCCTTCAGGAAAGGCACAGAAGGGCTTCAGAAGTGAGCAAAGGAAAGCCAGTTGCTCATGGTTTCAGTAAACACCATAAAGGGTAGAGCCCGCTTGCAGCGTGTGGTGCTGGTTGTGTGATGTGGAGGTGGGGGTTTCCTACCCATTCAAATCACACGAGCCATTCCCAAGAGTGCATATAAGTGGCATTGGGTAGACCCTGCCTCACAGGGTCCTACGTACAAAAATGGAATCCACACTAGCTACGTGGAGCCATGGATACTTGGATACTTCTGGAATCTGGACCCTCTGGACTGTGGGACTCTTTGGGCTTCTGATCCAAGCCACCAGAGGGCCCTGTGGCCTTTCAGGCAGGGTAGGTATTTGCAGCCACAAGGACCCATGCAAGCTCCTGTCAGGCCTCGGGACACCTGTCCACGTGGTCCTGCTGGTTGCTGGCATTGAAAGGAGCAGGGGTAGAGTCTAGAACATTCCAGGAGCAGAAAATGGTCGAGTGGAGAGGTACAGGGCCCAGGACTTTAGAGCAAAGCTCTCAAGGGTAGAAGATGTTTAATATCAAGACTCAAGAAATAGCAAATCCTTCCACGTCCCTGGAGCCCTTTAACTCTGAAAGGGGAAAAGCTGTTCTGACCAGGAAGGCAGATAGAAAGTTCTAGAACTTTCTGGAATATTTGTTTTCAGGTTTAAAAATATCCCTCCTCTCTTCTCTGGTAATTTGCAAGATGCTCAAGCAGAAAGCCCCCAAATGACTTCAGATGCTCTAGGACTTTCTGGAAGTTAGCCTAAGGCTGACTCATAAGTCTGTTTCTGCCTGTGACCCCTGGAAGATGACAGAGACTTGGGTAGAGAGGATGGGGCAGATCTGAGTTGACCTTGTGGCACTGTCACTTTGGGTAAGTGGACAGCAGGTTCCTCTTGAGATGATATTCTTTGTGCACACATGAAAACTCCCTTGCTATCTAAACCCCACTTCTGAGGCTGCTGCAACCCTGCCTCCCAGAGAAGCAGACACAGCCAGGGAAAAGTTGCTCTCAACTGTTTTATTGCTAAGCTGTCATCATACAAGCCGTATAAAAATACTTTACATATAGCAAAAATAAACTACATGAAACTGGAGATTAAAATTATTTTGCATAGGAATGCGATATATTCTGACTCCTCAAGACAGTCGGGATTTTTCCCAAACCCTGGTCTTCAGGCATCACCGGGGCAACCTCTAGGATGGTGAGACTCCCTGTGAGGGCTGAGAGGTGACAGGGGAGCAGGGGCTTCTCTGATAGGATGGCTGGGATGCTCCCACAGTGAGCTCTGGCCAACCAGAATGCTGTGGCTCCTAGTCACACAGCAACTGCACCATCAGCACCCAGTCCGACCAAAACCTGAAAGGGCGGGGGAACTTTATTCCCATCTGCCCCAGGGGCTGCCTAGAGACAGCATTAACCCTTTGACTGCCAGGACCCCTCTGTGATCCCAGAGGGGCAGCTCAGGGAAGCACCGCTCTTGCCCAACACTGGAGTTAGGTGTAAACGAACCGGGTTAAGACGAGAATGGCGGCTGTATGTCAAGGCACGGGTGAGTCGGTCAGCAGTGAAGGTGATGTCGCCTCATTTTAGCAGCGGGCAGGACTGCAGGAGAAGCTCTCGCTCTGGCTGGTTTGGGTCCATGAAGCTTGATGGCCAAAGGTGTGTCAGGTTCCTCAAGGCTGCCCTTCCCGCATTGTTCAGGAATGTCTGGCCTGGCCTGGCCACTTCTGTGTCTTTTCCGGAGTGCCTAACGAACACAGCAGCTCTCTGATAGTCTGTCAATGCAGTCTCTCTTTGGTTCTGAGTGACAATCAAAGCACATTGCTTCCAACCTCTCTGTGTGGCGGTGCCACTGCTGGCTGAGGGTTGATGGTGATGCAACAGATGACCAGACCACTGGACGTGAACGAGCTATCCCAGGTCTTGGGAGGAACCAGCTCACTTTGTCCATGGCTGTGATGTGCTGGACAAAAGGTGGCTGTCCTTTGGATGCCGCACGGGGGGTCTCCTGTGAGGACTCCACACAGTTGGTTCTGACAGCATCAGCCTGCCTTTAGGATCTTGTCAATCCATGAAAAGACAGGATTTGGTGGCTTTAAATCAAAACTACCAACTAAACCCTTTGTGTACAATTCTCAGGGACAACCCAGGCTTGAGGTCGAAGGAGTCGGTATCTTTCTCAAGAAAAAGATGCTCTCTCGTCCCAGTTCCCTCTCTCCCATCCCGAGGTCCTGATGGGGACCCAAGCCAAGCCTTTGGATTTGTTTTTCTGGAATGAGAAAACAATTCAAGAATACACCATTTCTCTTACAGAAAATCAAGATATATATGTTTAAAAAAACTTAAGAAGACATCTGACCATTTATAAATGTGTTCTAACTCCAACAGGGATGAGATATTTTGAGGGCAGATTAAAAAGCGCCAAAGTCCAGGTAAGAAAATAAAGTTTAATACCATCCTAATCTGGGTGGATATATAAACTCCCCAGCAGCTGTCTTTGTACAATCAGGCAGATGTGCGGACTTCCAAGAGTTAAGTACCACATTCAGCAAGACGAACCCGTCCGAGTGCCACACTAACGTCACTGCGGATTTCACAAGGACACATTTCTGCTTCGACCCTTCAGACTTACATACAACACACCCACCCTCACGGACTTAGATTAGACTACATCTTCCCACTCTGGGAATGGTGAATAAGCCATCACTACTATCCAAGTTTCCTTCTAGCGTCTGCGACTGACCAAACCTCCTTGATAGCTGTCTGCTGCTCGTATACTTTCTCTGTTGTGTCTGGGAACAAATGCTACTTTCTCTCCTGGTTTCCTGATCTACTTGTGTATGAGAAGGTTTCTTAGACTACTCAGCTAAGGTAGTCTAGGGGGAAGGGCACACACACAGAGGCACAGGAGTCTGAACTAAGGGAAGCCCTCTTGCACACATGCGTGCACACACACACAGGTACAGGAGTCTGAACTACAGGAAGCCCTCTTGCACACAAACACAGGTACAGGCATCTGAACTACAGGAAGCCCTCTTGCACACACACACAGGTACAGGCATCTGAACTACGGGAAGCCCTCTTGAACACACACACAGGTACAGGCGTCTGAACTACAGGAAGCCCTCTTGCACACATGCGCACACACATACACAGGTACAGGAATCTGAACTACAGGAAGCCCTCTTGCACACACACACACAGGTACAGGAGTCTGAACTACGGGAAGCCCTCTTGCATACGCACACACACACACAGGTACAGGAGTCTGAACTACGGGAAGCCCTCTTGCGCGCGCACACACACACACACACACACACGTACAGCAGTCTGAACTACGGGAAGCCCTCTTGCACACACGCACACACACACACAGGTAAGGGAGTCTGAACTACAGGAAGCCCTCTTGCACACACGCACACACACAGGTACAGGAGTCTGAACTACGGGAAGCCCTCTTGCACACACACACACACAGGTACAGGAGTCTGAACTACGGGAAGCCCTCTTGCTGACATGGTTAGAAGATGAATAGGAAGCGAGTTAGCCCTTTCTCACACCATACACAATGCAGCTGAACTGCTCACTACAATTGCAGGAAGGCACTTGGGTAAAACATTGAGATAATCCGAGGAAGGGCCCAATTCCTCATGTGCAAAAAGTGGCTCCCAGCCAGGGCAAGTAAGAACTGATCTCTAAGCCCTTGTCACCCTTCCCCAGAGAAGTGGGTATTGCTTCACAGAGGCTTCCTTTGTTCAGGAAGTGCCTCGGACCAGAGGCTTAGTGCCCAACTGCTTGTGGACATTCTGGGTTCAAAAGAGAATTCTGCTCCGGTGTATGCTTAGGGTGGCTGGAGGGAGCCCGGTGTTGCTGCTAGGGGAAAGAAAGGCTATATTAGCCAAGAAGTCACACTTTCATGCTCAAGCTAAGCCCTGGGTATGGGTCTCTGTCTGGAGAGCTAGCTGTAGCTGGCTCAGCTCCCAAGAAGATTTACCCTTGGACAGCCTTGGCAAAGCCAGAGTGTAAGAAACCCACGATGGGTATTTAGCCACTGTGGCTTGCTATTTGGGCCCTCTACCTAACAGACAGAGCCAAGAAAGTCATTGACATGCCTGCCCAGTGTGTACAAGCGGCTCTGTTGGAAGGAAGAACAAAAAAAATGAAAGCAAAAAAAAAAAATTGCACCAGGGGAGGAAGACTGTGGAGACCTGTGGCGTGAGAGCAGAGGACACCATAGGACACACGAGCCAGCCTTGATCACACGAAGGCACATGCTGGGGTCTGAGTTACGCATGCAGCTCACATGGCAGCGTCTCGGATTCCACAGTGACGTTATTTGCATCCAGGTAAGAAACAGAACAATGGGGCTATGCCAGCGCGCTCCAGCTTTGAGTTTAGGGTAGGGGGAGATTTCAGCCCCGTCGTTCTGTTTGGTGGCAGTCATGACAAACACCTGCAGGTTTTGATTGGGTTAGGTAGCTTCAGCTCTGTAACAGTCAATGCAAGGACCCAGAAGGTTCTTCCGGCTCCAGGGAGGAGGAGGCTCTGTCTGGGAGGAGGGTGGAGAAGAGCCTTTGGAAGCTTTGTTCTCAACAGGCAGCCCGAGCTGGATCCCACCAGAGGTCTGGTGCAGGCAGCAGGGTTAGGGAGTAGCTGGCTGAGAGGGCCCAGCCTGCGGACTCCTTGGTTGGCTCTTTGAAGCAGAGAAAAACAAAACAAAGGCCCAGAAGCTGGCAAACAATGTACACGGGTTATAACTTAAGGCCAGGAGTTGGAACAGGTGGTCCTGTCAGGGCAAGGCAGTTTGGCTTCGGAAAGAAGACTGAAAACAAGCAAAGCTCTGCTATGGCCCAGCTGGGGCAGAGATGAGACGCTCCGGTTTTGGCTCCTACAGAGACCTGGGGTTCTTGAGCCCAAAAGTTGGGCTCTTGGGCCATGTTCCTTTGGTTGTTCTGTCGAAACACCCTTCAAGAGAGAGAGGAGCCATGTCCGTGGGCTGGGGCTCTATCAAAGTTCCCCAGTTTTCTCCCCCAGGCCAGCTTCCGGGTCTCTGGCAAGTTCAGCTTCCTGGTGAGTTGAGAACGGGGCTTTGGTCAGCAGGCAGTGGCTTTTTCATCCAGTCACCATGGACATCAGCTTGGCTAAGCGTTGAGAGGCAGCAGGCTCCTACACCAACAGCCTTCGCTGTGCCCACACACAGTGTTCCAGTCAGAGAAGGCGGGGGGAGACAGAAGGGGTCCAAGATGGAAGGCGTCTTGCGATAATGGCTGTTCTAGGTCTGATTTCGGGGGGCAGGTCCTGAAAACTCCTTCCTGATGATTTCATTAACTAGAAAGGGGGAGACAGAATAAAACAAACACGTGAGATGTCACCCCAACCAGGCACCCAGTTAGATGCCACTTCCTGTGTTAGCCATCTTACCTATATCACTGCGCCTACCCAAGCCCCCCCCCCCCTCCCAAGCTGGCTGCTCACATGGTAGTGTGTCCCACTGTCCCCTTTCTGTCCTTTAGCTCAGGTCCTTAAGTCACTGTGTGTTGACCAAACTGCTTCTGTGCCTGTCTTGTCCTCAAAGCACTGAGTATGTGATCCTGTCACATCAGACCAAAAAGCAAAATCCCAAACTCAGGGGCCCTTAAAAAGACAGCAGGGGTGGTGGGGGAAGAGGGGTGAGGGGGACAGGGGGTGGTGGGGGCAGAGTGAGGTGGGGGTGGGTTCCACAGTCATAGCTAACTGGCTGTCCACTTGCATAAAATTTCTTTTTCTTTTCTTTTTCTTGGTTTTTAGAGACAGGGTTTCTTTGTGTAGCCTTGGCTGGCCTCAAATTCACAGAGATCCACCTGCCTCTGCCTCCCAAGTACTAGTTAAAGGCGTGTGCCACCACTGCCCAGTCAAAACTCCTTCCTTCCTTCCTTCCTTCCTTCCTTCCTTCCTTCCTCGGCACAGTGAGGGGTCCACCACCACTCAAGGACTTTGTTTCAAGGCTCCAGAAGTGGAAGGGGTCCTCGAGGGGCTTGGAAGCCAGTCACCTGCCCTGTACATATGTGGTTCCAATAGGAACTGTGGGCATAGTGCCAGCCCCTGGCATGGAGAAGCTCTTTGGCCTGTGCCAACTGGGCAGCTCATCTGAGGTGTGAGTTACTGGGATGGGGTGTGAGATCCTAGCACGGAAGATCTGGTCACGGGTTTTCCTTGGCATCCCCAGAGATAAGCTGTTCTCATCACCAGCACACACGGGAGGCTGCAGAGCCTGTCCCCAAACTAAGTGCACATCTTTGGCAACATTTATCAGCCAACCCCAGGATGGAAAGGAGATTTCTCCCCATACCCTCCTCAGTTTCTCATCTGTGCTGTTTCCTGAGCGACAGAGATCGAAATGGCGTGGAGGGCAGAGAAGCTGTGGAGATCTTCCTCATTCCAGGTTCTGCAGTCTGAGGTGCTCTGTCCTAGGGGGCCCCTGCCTAGGTGAGTCTGTGACCCCATGTCAACAGGGATGGGCATAGGTACAGTTTTTAAAAAGAATGGGCTAATCCAGGTTTGTCTCTGAGTCTCTAGCGCGGGAGTCACAGCAGCGCGGTCCCTTTAGGATCATTCTGTCTTCTCTTATACATTCAGCATGTGTGTTGGGGGTGAGGATTTGTCATGGCGTGTAAATAGGTCAGAGGGCAACCTGTAAAGTCTGTCCTCTCCCACATGTGGGTCTCAAAGACAATTCAGGTCATGGGGCTGGGCACCAAGTGCCTCTACCCGCTGAGCCATCTCGCTCTACCCGCTGAGCCATCTCGCTGCCTGTTTTCGCTTAAAACAAAATATGTTTGAGATGGGGTCTTGACATATAGTCTAGGCACTCATGACGTAGCCAAGGCTGGCCCTGAACCGACAGGCAATCCTCCTGCCTCTGTCTCCGAGTGTTGGGATCATAGGCGTGTACCACTGTGAGTGGACTTCTAAAATCTGCTGTGGGAATGTCAACTGCGGAGTGGATGACATCACCAAGCCTGGTGTATGGCAGTCAGCGCTTTTAGTGGTCATAGTCAGGAGCATGCTGGTGTACCCACAGTGCTTTGCATGAGAAGGTAGGGCTCAGTTCAGTGTTCCGCATGTGTGCTGGAATCATTGGGGGTCAGAATACCACTTCTGCTGTGACTTGATCATGAGCCTGGCTTTACTGACAGAACCGCTCTGTGCTTCAGTTTCTCAACCTATAAACTGGGTCCAAAAATATTACTGCTTCCTGGTGCTGTGAGCATGCGTACATCACCAATCAGTGACTACAGTGCCCTGGATAGAAGATGTGTGGGCCTGCAGAACAGAGCGCTAGACGTCAGGGATGTTCAAGAATGAGCCTTGGGAGACCATCGTAACGAACACTTACGAGATGGTGAATAGCTCTGTTAATGGGACCCTAGGGGCTGGACTCCTACAATCAGCTGGCTGGGAACGCATGTGCAGGTACTGTATTTGGTGTTCTGGTACCAGCTCACTCACTGGGGCCTAAAGCGGGAAGCTCAAAGAAGGATGCCAATTCCGGCTCTGCTGACACAGCACTGCCAGGGCCCAGGGAGCTGCCAGCCCTCTGGGGATGGAATGGAAGCCAAATGCAGAGGGAGGGACTAGCAGCTTCCATGAAGCTTTTCAAAGTCGGGATCCTAACGGCCTTCCTTGTTTGCTCAGCCTCCGGGGTAAGAGCAGGCAGTCAACCCCTCATGGACCTTCCCACAGCCCAGGTATGCTGAAAATAGCTAATAGATATTGCTTTGTGCACCACGGGCCCTCATACAGGGTCAGCCCCCTCCTGAGGAGTGCAGGCCTGAGAGGCTAGCCAACCTCTCGACAGCCAGGGAGATATGCTGTTGTCCTCTCTTGAGGTGCCGTGTTTCCTAACTTCAGGCAGTGGTTCCCATTACAGATCTTTACACTGAGGACTTACATAGAGGCAGCTATCATGTCAGCAACCTCTGTGGTAGTGGCTTTTCTTTCTGAAATCCTATGTAGCCCTGGTTGCAGGGGAGAAAGTTCTAGAACATACACCAACCAGATGATGGCAATTGCATCATTCTTTGTCAGGCTAAAACTTGAGCCCTGAGTTCTGAGGGGCTCTGCTCAGTCTCTCCATCCAGGTGTCCCCTTGCAGGCCACTAGGGTAGGGGACAGCCTACTACCCTTTGAAGTGAGTCCACAAGGGCCACTGTGACTATCTGCCCCTTATCTTCCCCAATTAGAAAGGAGAGTCCTGCTCAGCCCCATCACTGTCTTGTTCCTTTCCTGTCCATCTTTCTCTCTCTTTCATCTGGATTTAATTCTCCTATACCCCAAACTCCTGCTCTGGGCCAATCCCCCACCTGCTTTTCAGAGTTCCCCTGGAGGACCTTGTCATCTGTCCCTTTGAGCCACCTCACTGCCTACCACTCTCTAAGCATGCGTAGTTCCTGCTCCCACCTTCCCATTCATGCCACCAGCAAACCTCTATTCCTCTGTGTCCCCCGCCAGGCTGATGCCATCCCTGCCTCTTCTGGCCGTGCCAGCCACAACTTGGACATAGGCTCTTCTGTACCCTCCCTTCCTGGCAACTTGCTACTGCTGTTGCATCCTGTGCCCCAGACACAGGAAATACCCAGCAATGACATAATGACACAGATCGAAAAGGCTAAACACTTCGGGCTCCATGTTAGACTTGGGTAGGGCTCCCAAGGGTGACCCAGAGTTCTGAGTCTGCTCCCCCGTTTTGTCCATCCCATGATTCCTCTGTATATCTCCTTCCTCTGCCAGCTTATCTTCCCACCTTGGTCCATGTGCCTCCACACAGGCTCAACCCACTTCCAAATCTAACTTCTCGTTTGTTTTTGTTCCAACAGTACCTATTGCTTCCCTCGCACACCCCCTAGAAGTCAGTGGATCCGCAAGTCTCACAGATTGTGCTGTGCATAGGACCATAAGCACAGCTGGTATTTTGGGTGGCTAGTACTGGCCGAGAAATTTCATCTACAAGAGGATGGACCATGCAGATTTTCTGAGCATGGCAGGACTATTTAATTCCTACCTCAGCACTAGGAACATGGCTACGCTGTGGACAGGCGCTGTAGAGCCTGGAGGTCCCTTGCCGCAGCAGGCAATGGGATTTAGATTTAGATGTGAATCCAGCCCACTCTTTCAGTTTATTTAATCTGCAGCCTACATGCTGGTCAAGAAATTGTTCTGTGAGGTGTAGCATTCACCCCCTTTTGTTTCTGGAGACCCAGAATCCTCGCTGTATTTTGTGCAGGAAAAGGCCAGCTAGCGTCTGAGTTTAGTGGTCAGGTTTGAGCCAGGTGGTCTGCCAAAAGCACCATATTCTAAGAACAGGATGGGTGAGGGACAGCCCGTCACAGTGCTGCTAACCCCATTAAAGACAGGGCTAAGGATGAATGTGTCTCTAACTTCAGTGTGACCCAACGCTGCCACCAGGAAAGAGAAGATGGATAGGTTTAAAATGCATCAAAATTATAGCATCTTCCCTTAGCAGAGATAACCATTCATATATAGAGGTAATACAGCTATAATACTATGAAGCAATAAAAAATGGCAACAGACAATATTGAAAGGGCCATGCCAGGGACCAACAGGCCCTTTTGGTAAAGGACTAGATACTACTTTCAGATTTGTGGGTGTTAGGGCCTCTTTCCACTATTGAGACACCTATAGGCAAATCAACATCAATATGTCGCGATAAAACTTTATTGACAGCAGGATGGGGGCCAGATCAAGCCTCACCACCATAGTTTGCCAGTGTCCGAGAGGTAAGAGAGTAGGGTGTTTTCTCTGCCTACTTTGGGGAAGTCAGAGCCTCAACTACTATTACTTATAAATTAGTCTGGGTTTGTTTAGTGGTAACATTCTAGTAGCTAAAACCGACTTGTCAAGGAATTTGTTAAAGAAGGGACTCTCAGGGGCTCTTCCTACAGCCACCTCCACCTTAGCTGCTTACTCCAGAATGGCAACTGCAGGAAGGAACAGAGAGGCTTCACTGCTTCTCTTCCAAACCTCAACTGTTTTCTATCATCCAGCCAAACTGTAGCCAGAGAGCCCCTCTGCAGTCAGGACAGGACTGGAGCACCCCCCACCCCGGCTCTTCTGCTGTGCCCAGTCAGGAGGACATCACTTCTGCTGATGTAGGAGAAGATCTCAGGGGAGTGTCCTCTAGAGTCAAGGCCCAGTTCTGGGCTTGAAGGACTGGGCCTTTCCTGTCACTCACAGCTCAGATGTCACCTGAGGATGTAATCATGGGGCTTACTTTCTGGAGAAACGTACCTTGCATCTTTTCTCTGTCCCCTTCCTGGGCTCTGGACACC